TACAGCAACTGGCAAACAAAGAGAGATTAGAAGATGAGAATCCTAAAATGTAAAACCCTGGGGATAACACTCCCAGGGATTACTCTTATTGTGCACTCAGTTATTAAAAAAAAAAAAAAAAACAATATGGATTCAACATAGCTCTATTGAGTGCCTGCTCTCCAGCCTCTCTACTACCTGGTTTCACCAAGATTCCAATTCATTTATACTGCAGCACAGGGAGACAGGAATCTTTAACTCTTACAGATGTACAGTCGACCTGGGGGGAAAATGGTCACCACTGCTTCAGTGTTCCTACTTTGCTCTTCATAACTAATCCCACCCAGAGACCCCTAGCCCAGAGACCACCAGTGCCTGCTCTCCAGCCTCTCTACTACCTGGTTTCACCAAGATTCCAATTCATTTATACTGCAGCACAGGGAGACAGGAATCTTTAACTCTTACAGATGTACAGTCGACCTGGGGGGAAAATGGTCACCACTGCTTCAGTGTTCCTACTTTGCTCTTCATAACTAATCCCACCCAGAGACCCCTAGCCCAGAGACCACCAAGCTGCGGTCAGTGACACAGCCTGGGCTTTTCTCATTGGTGAGACACAGTCACAGCAAAGCATTCTCTGAGCCATGTGCTTTGGCTCCGCTTACTGTTCTTGATGGTCAGTGTTACTTCGGACTGATTTGTATTTTCCCGTGTGTAAGCAAAGTGGGCAGTGCTGCTCCAACAAAAATTTCTGTGTGTTTTTTTGCAAATGGATAGCACATTTGACATATCAAAGGAACCTAGAGCTGGGAGAGTTTGTTCCTGAGCTCCGAGCACCCTCCTGCCCACACCTTTCACCACCCCTCTCTTGACAGATTTTCTCTTCAGGTAGGGAGACATCTTTCTAGCCACACCTTCATGTTAAAAACGTCTCAGCCAACTATCATTGACTAGAGAGAGAACAGTTGATGGCAATTACTGGAATATTAGCACCACTGAGTTCTCTTTAAATAGCAGTTTTTCTGACAGAAGCCAAGACATTCGAAATCTGGCTTGGTGTGCCATCCATAATTACCCTCATTGCACCCTTCCCCTAAATAATTTCCAGAGTGATACCAGTAAGGCTGGAAGCTGCCCGAGCTCAGGGTTTTGTTCAAGAGCTCATATCACATCACCACCATTTTATCTTTTCATGCTGCTAGAAGGATGCTAAGAAGAGAATGTGACTCCCTACAGTGGCTGTCGTTTCTGCTTCACACCATGGGGAGGGTGGGTCATGATGTGCCGTGTGTCTCTTAAGTTGTTGAGGTACCCTGTCCCACCATCTCAGCTTCCAAAAAGGAGATAGCCTAGATTATCTTCTTTCATGTTCGCTGCTATGGAGGAAGCCCCTCCCCCCACCTCAACTCTATAGATTCTAGATGTTGTTTGTGTGGCTTATGACTGTGTATGTAAGCAGTACTCAACAGTCCCTGGTTACATAGGAATTCAGTCATAACATTTTTGCAGGCTGTAGGCTGTGGGTATAGTTCAGTGGTAGAGCATTTACCTAGCATGCATAATGCCTTGCATTTGATCTCCAGCATTCCCCCAAAAGAAAAAAATACATATTTTCTTATAAAAAATCTACCATTATCATCCTTTTAAATAGTATGCTTGAACATACAATTTAGGGGGCTGGAGAGGTGACTCGGTAGTTAAGAGCATGTACTGCTCTTGCAGAGGACCCCAGTTCAGTTCCCAGCACTGCTGTCAGATGGCTCACAACTGCCTGTAACTGCAGCTCCAGGGGAATCACATACCTCTCTCCTCCTTGGGCACGTGCATTCCTTTGCACATACCAACACACACACACACACACACACACACACACACACACACACATAATTAAGAATAAAATAAATCTTTTTTAAAGAGAAAATATAATTTCTATTACTGGTACTTTTAAATGACCTAATATATGGATATTTATTTGTAGATTTTCAAGTACTTACACATTACATAAAAGGAGGTGAGCTCCATTTTGACATGTAGAGTGCTTCCTGTTTCCTTTGAGGAATGTGATTCCACACTGAAAACTACAATGTTCTAATCCACCTCTTTATTCCAGTGTTCTCTATAGCCATGTTTGCAAGTGGGTCTCATTCATAGTTTTGAAGCAGGAAGCATGTACTATCAATAGCACACAGAGGTGAAGGTGAGATTGACTTCTGCACCCCTCCCCCACCTGGCTCTCCCCTGAGTCAGTTCAGGTTCCCTTTGGAAGTGGAGTCTCTATGAACTCAGAAAGCACAACATGATCCAAGAGCTTAAAGCTGCAGAATTTCATTCATCTACCTGAGAAGATGAGGTCCTGACATGGGCCCCTCTGCTTCCTAGTAATGCCCTTCTCCTTGCTCTGCTCTAACCCAACAAATCTCCTGACAAATGCTGACCCAGGCAGCCTACAGGCTATCAGAGGCAGAACTTTCTAAATTGACACTTGCCTCACAAGTTCTGACTCAGTCAGTCAGCATTTCTAACCAGCTCTTAGCTGAGGCTTACACTGCTGGTGAGGAGGCCAGGATACAGGAGTTAGTAGGCTAGCACAGGATCTAGTGGGCACACGTGTGTCGAGGGAAGATCGAGAGAAGAGGGTGACCATTATCCACTTACATTTGACTCCTCTCAGCTTTTCTGGTAATTGGCACTATTTGGAACCCACTGGTATCACAACTCTCCACATTTATTCCTTTTATGTGACTTGGGTCTAGAAGGTAAACAGATGTGTGCCAGTTTTCTAGGAACCACAGAGGTTGTGTTATTCCTGGATCACACTTTTAAAGTTACTTTATTGAGGTATAATTTATATGCCATAAAATTTACTTAATTGTAGGAGAACTGGTCAAGGATTTCTCATAAATATATTAGAGTACAGCCATCATCAGAGCTCAGAGTTTGGACATTTTCAGCATCCCACGAGGCTTCCTTGCTCTCTGAAGTTTCTGAGTGCATGTGCATTGATTGTACTATATGTTTAAACCTTTGCAGTGAAAAGCAATGACATTGAAAATCCTTTCTAGTTTTCATTGTTTTATATCAAGTAAACAGTTCACAGACCATCTGTCTCACTATTTGTTACTCTTCATAAATAAGTCTGTATACTACATGTCTAAAATTAAATACATTTAGCCAGTGAGAGGCTGTATGGGGTACCAGGTGCTACGCCACCATCTCTTAAGATATTGCACAGAAAGTGTACTTCTCACCACTAAAAAGGACCTTAATAGTTTATCTTAATGTAAGAGTCATATGCCTGAACCCTCCCATATTGTGTGCCAGACAGTACACTAAACGATACAAAAATAAATACATGACCCCTGACTTCAAGTGGCTCATGATTCCTGGAGATGAGACAGAAAGATAAACTAATAAAAAATAGTATGATACTGTAAGTCTACCAGAAAGTATTGGTGTTACAATGACAGGGTAAACAAGCAGCATTCACTCTTGTATTTTTTTGTGGCATATACTAACATTCTTGCTCTGGAAACCGGATTCTCTGATTCATGGAAATTGCAATCCAAACATGATCTCACTTGAGGGCTTTATTAGAGACCAAAGTATCCTTTATAAAGCAAAACAAAACATTATGAGCAGGAACAGCCCAGTAAAAGAACAGTTTTAAGCATAATGATCCCCGCAGTGATACACTGATGGTCATCAGTGGGCTTAATCTGCAACATCTACTTGTTCTGTGTTAAATATTTTGGAGTGTACTGAAAGGAAAGTCGCACACCTCTTTCAGAAGACAGAACTAGCCAGGTGTGGTGCCTTTTTCCAAGCACTCAAGTGGCAGAGGGAGCCAGATCTCTGTGAGATCGAGGCCAGCTTAGTCTATATACTAAGTTCCAGACCAGCTGATGCTATAGGGATACCCTGCCACAAAACAAACAAAACAAAAGATAGGACTTCACACAGAACAAATTACAGTTCAATGATGAAACATATGGTCAAATTATAAATTAAGGATGAATCATTCCAAAATATCCAGGACAAACAGTAAATGCTGCAGGAAATTGGACTTGTTTTCCTAAAACAAGAATGCTGAAGACCCCTAACCACACTGGGCAGTGGGACAGAGTACTGGGTTACACAAGCCAAATGTCATTCCGTTGTAAGGCAAGGCGAAAAGTCAACAAAGACTCTCCCCCTCATCTCGTTGGAATGGAGTGTTATTTATTTGTATATGTTAATTAAACTTCCCAATGTATAGAAAATAATGTACAGGAGCCTACTGGAAGTAGAGACGTGTTGGTACTAGTTCTATTGCTATGTTTACTAGCATTCATCTTTAAGCATCAAGACTCAAGACTCAACCCAATCAAGACTTGATTTCTTGATGGTCTTTGGTGTGGTCATGAAATGACCATACTTGACACACACACACACAAAAAAAAGAGGGCACAGAAGTGCTTTGCACTAGCAACTTCCTTGTTGCTTTTCAAAGTCCAATGTCTTCCTTAGCAGCCTATGTTTTCCAGCTGGGCATGGTTTGCACTTTTCCTGTCCTCTCAAATGTTTTCCAGTATGAGGAACAGGGGAGAAGGGTCTTATCACACCATCAACCTGCTTTCTCGCTAGAGGCCACCATGGGTGAGAGTCGTGTGTGCCAGCAGCTGGTAGAGCTGCGGTGTGACTGCTCTTGCTAGATCTAATGTCCTTTGGTTCTGAATATCAGGCTGGTCAGAGAGCAATGTCAGTCCTCCTACTCCATGGCCATCACCACTGATGAGCAATCCAAATGGCAGCACCTCTGCACTGAAAGGTAATACAGTGTTTTACCCCATCTGACATGACAGCTGCCTTCCTTTCCAGCAGCCTATCTCTCTTACTATATGTCTTTACTTGTTTCTATCTGAGTATCTAAAGCTTCACGCAGGGCTATAAGACAAAGAGTGATGCATAAGCCTAGAAATTATATTCTGATTTTCTTCCTGGCTTACTTTCTTAATTCATAATTCCCCTTGTAAGATTTGTCTAATAAGAATGAATCTAATACACATGATCCTTGGGATAGACTGAAAATACCTAAGTAGGAAAGGCCACTGAGGTTTGCTGTCTTTAAAATTACCATTGCCTACCACATAAGGCATTGAATTAGCACTCCCCAGAAAAGGCCAGATTTCTTAGCTGTCAAAAGAGGTCCTTTCAAGCTTGCGAGATCTATTGTCTTTGGAGACAGGCCCCAACAAGAACATCTGCTGGACAGAAGATCTCGTGTGTATTCACAGCTCTATCTGTGTTCTTTTGGTCTTCACCCCCTTTCCCTTTGACCACAGGACGTTAGAGGAAATGTCTGTTCCATTATCATCAGAAAATATTCCTACAATGTTCTTTTAGGTGCTGTGCAAATAAGTTGCATCTGGTTTTGCTCCCAATGAAGGCTTGGGGGATCTGAGGGTTGCCCTAAAGTACAGTCACCCGGCTTGGCTCCTTAACCACAAGGCTATGATCAATTTCTAAGGATCTTCTAAGACCTCTGCAGAGGTTAGGGAGAAGGGGAAGTGAGCATGCAGCATATTTCCACTGGAGATATCTTCAAGATATCTTTGTAGTCTCTATCAAGAATTGAGATAAACTAAGCCACCTACATCAGTCTTGCCCCATACAGTACCTCATATGAACTCCTACGTGATGAGTGGAACCTCTCTTGGGTCTCAGCTTATCACATTGAAATAAACCAAGTGTTAGGAGGGCAAACCACATGGGATCCAATTCAGTTTAGGTTAAATAACCTACAACCACACAGAATTCAACAAAGGTTACCCGTAGCTATAACTTGTGAATTATTTGAATCACTCTTGTTGCTGGCTAATAGTAGTCTTATCTCTACAATAGATGTATTTATGTCATTAAAAAATAATCAACCTACAAAAAAGAGAGATGAATCCAATGTATGAAGTGCTCCATTTACTATCTTTCATTTCAGTGCCATTTTGATGAAAAGACCAAAGACACTATTTACCTAGCTCTTATCCCAACTCTATCCCTTCACTCTAGCAACTTGAGCTCCCAACATCTTTTGAGACACTTCTCAGTCAGAAGGCAAGCACATTTCCCAGCTGCTCCCTGCTAGAACGGTACTCCATCAGAAAGGCAATTTCTTCATGCTCCTGGCACCTCTACCTATTGGAGGAGAAAAGCATGGATCATCCAAACGAGTGAACTCAGATCCTCATGTGGAATGATTTATATGAGAGTTCCAGCTTATTCAGAAATCACTTGCATGAGGCACTCTTTTGAAAATTCTCTTCTCATCTGGAAGATAGTTTGGCTGTCTTAGCATGGTATTTGGGAAGTTAGGGCAGGTGTTTTGCTGAAGCAACAGCAGAAGGGAGGGCTCCAGTGAGGTTGACCATGAAGGAATTGCAAGCATGCTGAGGTAAGCGAGTACGTGTCAAGGGCGTTTTATCTTTGACAGAAGGTGAAAAAGGCAGTGACCATAATGGCAAAGAGGCTGGGCCTGTACAAGCTCAGAGGCCTGTGGCTTTGAAGAGTTAAGGAGAGACGCCACATTGCTCCTGATCCCGGGGATTCGGGGATTCTAAGGGATTCCTCTGGCAGACACTGGAAAGCACCTGGCTTCCTCAGCGATTCAGTCTGCTTTCTGAAATAACCATAGTGTTTCCTGGTTGTGGCAGGGAGTAGGGTTTTGAGCAGTTCAGTGCCTGTGGCCTTTAGTTGGAGTTGCATCGCAGGTTGGGGTTAGTTAACACAGAGAACACAGAGCTCCTTCTTCAGGGAGCCTCAGGTCACAGTTTAGGAATGTCAGTCAACCAGCTAGGGAACTTGGAATTCTGTTAGTGATCAAGGGTCATGGGATTTGTCCCTTTCCAGGGTGCTGCTCATCTTTCTGAACCCAGCATGGAAGGAGTAGGCTTTGGAAAGGTGGGTTTGTTGATGTTTGTTCTTTTCTCCCCAGAGCCTGCCAAGGCTGCCTCAGACCTGACTGCTTGGTTCAGCCTCTTTGCTGACCTCGACCCCTTATCAAATCCTGATGCTGTTGGAAAAACCGATAAAGAACATGAATTGCTCAATGCATGAGTCTGCAGCCTTCAAAGGGAGCCCTCAGACCTCTCCACAACACTTCATCTCGGGCTTTCAGAAATATAACGTGATCAGTATGCTGTTTTAATATTTACGTGCCATTTTAATAAAATGAAAGGGTCAAAGGCCCTCTTTCTACCAGTATAGTTATTTACTCTTTTTTGGTATAATGGGTTTGTGTGTTCGCCATATGCATTGGACAATGAGAAGCATTGGCTGACATTCTGTCAGGACCACTGTGGTGTCAGTGAGCCAAGGTAAGATCGAGTAAAAATCATAAAACTGAATGTGTGTTTAGCTAACATGTCTTCAGAGGCAGCAGAAGGCTAACAAAGTTTTATGATTCCTCCTGTTCCCATGTCCCTGTCCCCTCAGAAGGGGGCTGCAGGAAGAGCCCCTCTTTCTGTCATACTGCCTTCCAGTGGTGAGCTCTGATGACATACCAGCTTCATCCAACCAAAGACACTGTCTCCATATGCACTTGCCTGCAGACCATATATTGTCACACTGGCAGAGGGGCTGTGTGGGGACCCAGCATTGAGTTAAGAGAAGCACTCTGGGGGAGGACAGTGGAAGCAAGTGGGGCCCACTTGCACCCCTGAAGCTACATGAATCCCCAAAGAAGGCAGCCCAGGGCATGGACTGCCTGGGACTTCTATAGGATCAGGCAGCAGTGGGGATAACAGTTTTGCACTGGGGCACATAAGCAGCTCAGATGCTCTACTAGTGTCATAGACCTCAGAGTTGACATCTCCCCTCTTAGGTTACAGGTGACCTGCTCAATGAGAGCCACACACATACCCTAAAGCTCATGTACACCATGGCAGTACAGGTCCTATGTAAGGGTAAAATCAGTGATGATCCAAGAAAGGGTTCTGTGTGCTAGGCTAAGCCAGAGACCTGTTTGGGCTCACGTGCCTTCTGTGCCTGCCTATGTGGGTCACCTCCAGAATCACACAGCAGCACCTCATCATGAAGGGCCTGACCGCAGCCATGACCTCTGTGCCCTACAAAATGCCCTGGAGGGCTGGAAACAGGCAGTGTTAGATATATCTAGCTAGTGCAGGAAAAGTATGCTGCAGGTATAGTAGTCTGGAACCCCGTGAGGGACTTAGCCCAGTGCAGGCTCTTTGGAAGTTCGTTTGTTAGAATCTTACTAGCAAAGTCCTCTGTCCTGCATTAATGCACTTTGAGGTTGTCAAGATGTAGCATCAAGGGGCTGGAGAGATGGCTCAGCAGTTAAGAGCACTGGCTGTCCTTGCAGGAGACCTGTGTTCAAATCCCAGCACCCACATGGTGACCTACAACCATCCATAACTTCAGTTCCAGGGAATCTGATGCCTTCTTCTGTCCTCAGTGGACATTAGACAAGATGGATGCTCTTACATATATGCAGATATATCATACACATAAATAAAAATAAATTAAAAAATTTTTTAATCTTAAAAAAAAAATAGCATCAGGACCCAACCTCCTCGCTTACACTGGAGTGTTTGTCAGATCCATAACTCACCATCCCAGGGCTTATCTGCTAAATGCTCCACCTGGGACACCATCACAACCCTATTCAGGCCTCAGAAGCTTCCTCAGAGCCCATTCTGCCACTAGAATTGCCTAAGTGCAGCTTTCAGATCTCCTTCAAGAAATCAGCCTTCCTGCCCCTCTGAAAGTTTATCTCCTGCCCTCATTCTGCCTCTTTTATCCAGCCATAACAAGATGGTACCCTGCCTGGCCTGGTGGTCTGTGGTTTTGGCAAATGCCTCTACTATGAGGTGTTGCTATCCCAGTGAACAGGGACCCTATTTTCTTTTTTGAATTTTTTAATTGAATTTTTGTGCATTTCATACAAAACAGTTTAATCATCTTTATACCCCCTCCCTGATACAGACCCTCTCATAGCCCACACCAATGGATTTTATGCATTCTGTCATATATGTTAAGGTCTATCAAGTCGAGTTAGTATACCCTGACTTCCCTCAGTGCAAGTTCATCTACTGGGGTCTAGTCAGCCTATCTAGAGTCTCTCCCTTAAAGATCAACTCTCCCTCACCCAGCAATAGTCAGCTGACAATAGTTCTTTGGCTAAGGTTTGGGCCTGCTTCCCATTTACACAGTTCTGTGCTGAGGTTTCATCTGCTTGAGTTTGCATGGGTCTTGTGCATGTTGACACCATTGCTATTGGTTCATGTGAGTAAGGTCCCAGGCCTATAAAACTCTATTTCCATATGGTCATGTATCTCCTCCCCTGGCTCTCACAAACTTTCTGCTCCCTCTTCCACAATGGTCTCTGAGTCCTGGGGGGAGTGAAGTTTAATTTAGGAGTCCTGTCTAGGACCCACACTTTGCAGACTCTTATTCTCTAAACTTTGGCCATTTTTGGCCTTTTTTGTTTATTGCCCTCTGTTGCATGAGGGAGAGTCACTGATGAAAGTTGAGAGAAGCATTAGTGTTCTCTCTACCGCTTGTTCATCATGTTCCATGAGCCTTAGGTATAGAGGTTCCATTGTAGCTGTGTCACTTAGGCTTGGGTATCTCACAGACTTTTATCTCTGTGTGTGACCAGTTGTGGAACTCTGTAATAGTCTCCATCTGTTGCAAAAGAAGCTTCTTTGATACGTGGTGACAGACAAGTGTCTGTAAATATAAGGATCCAAATTTAGCATATAGTAAGAGGGCCATGTTTTCAAAAATCTGTCTTCCAACAACCAGCACCCTAGAGTCACCTTGGAAGTGATGGATTGATTAACAATTGCCAAATTGAGCTGCCCTGTGTGGAATGAGGGCTAAGAGTCCTAGTTCCATCCTGGGTCATGTTTGTTCGCAGCCATCCAAAACCCCACAATCACAGTGGAGCACTTGGCTGGCTCCATTCAGACCATGGGAGTGCTAAGAAGGTGGGGTTCTTCTGTTTTGAATGGGTTAATTTAAATAGTAGCAGGCCGCATCTTAAAACTGATCAGTGGGCTGGGGAAAGAGGTTGTAGTAGTAGTTGGATAAGCTTTGCTACAAGGAAAAGGGAAGGCTTGCTCATGGAGGCATTTTTCTCCCTGAATTTTCTTTACAATTTTGTGAAAGAAAAGAAAGACTCCATCTCCTCTCCCATCTGCAGTCCACTTGGGCAGCCTCTTGATCCCTTTTGATAGATGTGTTTTGATCTGGCTCACACAAAACCCCTCAACCTCCAGTTTAAGGAGGAGCAGCTGCTGCCTGATTCTCTTAGGAGTGGCCTGTGCGCCAGCCTGGCCAAGGAGCTTCTTCTGGGACCCACCTCAGGGCCTCCCCAGCTGCCCACACTAAGCCTGTCTCTGGCATGAAGGAAACAAAGGTGCCTTACCACTTGGCCTACAGTTTCACTTCTCCCTCACCTTCAAGTCCCCCAAGGCAGTCAGCCTGAGCCATTATTGCACTGTGAGTTTGGGGCAAAGACAGGGAACATGTTCCTGGGCTTTCCTTCTGTTCCCAGTGCTTGGTGCATCAACCTCTCCTCCTTGTCCCCCAGCCAACAGACACAGAATACACACACTGAAGGGAAGAGAGCCAGAAATGATTCTGTTTCTGCCTGCCTCCTTTCCCCGACTGGCACAGGCTCTTGGTGTGCTTTACAGATTCATTCCCTGCAAAATGTAATTTTAGAAATGTCAAGTTGATTTTGAGTTCTGGGTGAGTGAGAAAAGCATCCGTCAGCCTCGAAATTAGAAATGCACTGATTTAGAAAGAACCGGCACTTTTTTGTTGGAGTTTTTTTTTTTTTTTTTTTTTTTTTTTTTTTTTTTATTTGCCTGAGAAAATGTGATCGGTGTGAAGCCAGCACCCCTGGGTTTGAAGGAGGAGCACATCCATTGTGCTGTAGCCAGTTTTCATAAATGGTGTGGAGCCAGGGCTGAGGAACCCAAAGGCACTTTGTGAGGCTGCCCAGCCGTCTGGGTGAAGATGACACCTACCAGGCTCCCTGCTGCAGCTTCGGGAGCCAGCATGCTGAACTCCCCCTTTAGAAGATGCTACACTGAGACCCCATCCCAGAGGTCATCTCTGGCAAAGGCGCAGGGCTAATTACTAACACTATTTTATTTTGCCAATATCTCAGAGCTGCACCTGACCTTGTGATCAACTCACGTCCTTCACACAGGTCAAGCAGTTAGTCCTCTGCTTCCTGCTTTGATTCAAGGCTGCTTCCCAGCTCTCTGACAGGCACTGTTCATGGTTCAGTGATGCAGGTCTCCTCAGCATTGTTGAAACATAGGTGTCAGCTTGGAGGTAAATCCAAATGGTTGACTGTGGCTGCCAAGAACTCTGCATTGAGAAGCCTTCTGGTAAATGAGCAATGTTTATGATGGGTGTGGGGCAACCTATACTGCCTCAGCCCTTGTCTTTCATGGAGCTTTTGGAGTTAATCTTTTTTTGTTTTTTTTTGTTTTTTCATCAAATGGCACTAGTATTCTGGAACTTTCAGAGAGAAACATGTGTGGATGAGAGAAATAAAGTTCAGAGAACAGTCATTAATGAAACCCAACCCAATTCAAAATGACTTAACATTAAGTCTGTAAACCTAGCACTTGAGAGGTGGAGGCAGGAGGACTAGGAATTCAAGGTCATCCTTGGCTATATAGTGAATTTGAGATAAGTCTAGGCTAAATGAGACCCTGTCTCAAAAACTGAAAAGGTATGGCAGTGGGCTTATTTGCTCAGGTGACTGAGAAATCTATAAGCTTGAGACATAGTTGGATCTAGCGGCTCAGCTGATGTTCACAACAACCATCTCTCTAGATTTCAGCTGATTCCCTTCATTTCTTCAATCTAATAGACACTTCTCAGAAGACAAATGACCACCAGCATCTCCAGCCAAAGTTTTGGAATTCACCCTGCTTGGGGTCCTGTGTGTACTCTTCATTCACAGGGATTAACGGGTGGGAAATTGACTGTTTTCTCAGCTTTGCATATGCCTTCCTTTGTAGTCTGGTCTTCAAAGACGGGGGATAGAGATAGTTTCCCCTGGTAAACTGGGATGCTATAGGATCCAGTAGGAATAAAAAAGAATGGAGGCTAAGCAGAAGAATGCACTAGGTCTGCCTTAGTTTGTCCGCTGGAATGACTTCTGGAAACACCTGTCTTTCCAGAGGACTGAATGGGAACAGGATGGTTGGAGAAC